GGCAGGGGGCTGTGGGGTGCTCTGGGGTGCCATTTGGGCTGTGAGGTGGCCATGGGGCAGGCAGGGGGCTGTGGGGTGCTCTGGGGTTCCATTTGGGCTATGGGGTGGGGCAGGGGGGGCTGTGGGGTGCTCTGGGGTTCCATTTGGGCTGTGAGGTGGCCATGGGACGGGGCAGGGGGCTGTGGGGTGCTCTGGGGTTCCATTTGGGCTGTGAGGTGGCCATGGGGCAGGCAGGGGGCTGTGGGGTGCCCTGAGGTGTCATTCGGGCAGTGGGGTGCCCGTGGGGCGGGGCAGGGGGGGCTGTGGGATGCCCTGGGGTTCCATTTGGGCAGCGGGGTGCCCGTGGGGCGGGCGGGGGGCTGCAGGTGCCCCCTGCCCCCAGCGCTACGCCGAGGCCGCGCGCACCTTCGAGGAGCTGCTGCTGCGGGACGGGGCCCACGCCGAGGCCGCTGCACAGCTGGAGGCCTGCCGGGCCCTGCTGCGGGTGAGACCCCCTTCCCCTGCCCCCCATCCCCTGTCTACCCCCCCACTGTGCCCCCCACCCCTCACCCCTGTCCCCCCACAGCAGCACGGCCGCCCCGGGGGGGTCCCCGTGTCCCCTTTCCTGCCTGAGACCAGGGAGCCGCCGCTTCTCCCCGGTAAGGGACCGGGGCTGGGGGGGCCCCGGGGGTGTCCCCGTGTCCCCGGTGGGTGCTGACCCCCCCTGGCCCCCCTCGGCAGGAGGGTGGGTGAGTGGGAGCTGCCAGCAGAGAGGGGACACGAGTGTGGGGAGGGGGAGCACCGGAACCCCCCCAAGAGACCAAGGACAGGGAGCTGCCCCGGCTGCCAGCCTGACACTGCCCCCCAGCCACCCTGCCAGGTATGGGGCTCCGGAGGGCTGGGGGGACCCAGAGCACCCCAGTGGTGTGGTGCTGGCTCTGGTGACCCCGGGGTGGCTCTTTGCAGGGACTGCTTCCCGCTCTGGGTGGGCAACGTCACCCCCCACATCAGTGAGAAGGTGCTGCGCCGCACCTTCGGCCGGTGAGTGACCCCCAGGACCCAGGGACCACCCCCCTGGCACCCCAGCACAGCCCTGGTCCCCCCCAACCCTGTCTCTGTCCCCATTCCCTGGTGGTTCTGACCTGCAAAGGGAGGCTTGGGGGGATCCTGTGTTCTGCTTCCCCAGATTTGGCGGTATCTGAGCTTCCTCCAGCATTGGGGGTCTCTACTGCACTGCTTTGGGGAATTTTTAACTGTTTTCCTTCAGATTTGGAGGTTTTTGATCCCCCTTCCTGTGGGTTTGAGGGTGTCTAGTGCTCTTCCTCCATCTTCGAGGGTTTTTCATCCTTCCCTGCCACACACGTTTGGGGGTGTCTAAGCCCCCTGCCGCATTTGAGGGTCTCTGACCCCCACCCCACAGGGTTGGGTATCTCTAACCCTTGCCCCCCCACACGTTTGGGGGGTCTGTGCCCCCCAGGTTCGGGGAGATCCACTCAGTGCGGATGCTGCCGGGCCGGCGCTGTGCCTTCATCAACTTCAGCAGGAAGGCGGCAGCAGAGGCGGCCTTTGGGGCCATGCAGGTGAGCTGGGGGGGCACGGGGGAGTCCCCCACCCTGGGGCTGCCCTGGGTCACCCCTGCCCGCGGGGCCCGTCCCGGTGCCAGCTCCCCCCTGTCCCCAGGGTGCCACCGTGGAGGGCAGCGAGCTGGTGCTGCAGCTCAAGCACCCGTCCCACGCCACTCCAGCCCCCCTGCCCCGCGCCAGGGGGGCTCCTCCCCCCGGGGGGCTGCTCAGATGACCCTGCTCTGTCAAGGGGGGCTGCCGGGGCCCCCCTGCACCTGCCTGTACCTTCCTGTACCTGCCTGTACCTGCCTGTGCCTTGTCCCCATGCTGGGGGTGAGAGTGTCCCCCCCTCCTGCCTTGGGGGGGTCGGGACCCCCCCCGCAGCCCCTCTTGCCTGGGGGGGGTGGGCCCGGGCTGATCCCCGCGGCCCCTCAGGGATTTGTTACCTGTTTGGGTTTTATAATAAAACTGACACTTCTGTCCTTCTCTCTGGCTTCTCCTTCCCTTGGATTGGTGCCTCCTCTGACCCCCCCCAGCCCTCCTTCCACCCCCCTGCCCTCTCTGCCCCCCCACCCCAGTCCTGGACCCCACCATTCCAGCCCCCCATGTCCCCTCCCCACGTTGCCCCTCGCCCTCCCGTGTCCCTCCAGCCCCGGGGGGCAGCGGGGGGGTCCCCACCCCCCCCCGGAATGTCACTTGCTGGTGACAGGAGCTTCAGGGTGGGGAGTGACAGGCGGGACATCAAATACAATTTGATTAATATGCAAATTGAGGGGGGGAGGGTCGGCCTCAGCCGGTAATTAATCACTGGTTAAAACAAATTAATGCCCGCGGCGGGAAGTGCTCGCCTGGAAAATGGGGGGATACAGAGTGGTCCCCGGGGGGGATCAGGGTTCCATAATAAGGTGTCGCCTTTATTGCAAATATTTACACCGGGGCCGATAGAAAATAAAATTAAAAATAAAAAAAAAGAGACAAGGGAAAGATGAACAACAACAAAAAAAAAATACCCAAAAACGGGTGCACCGAGGGGGCGGGGCCGGGCCGGGCTCGGCTCCGTTCGGGACCGGGACGAGCGGAGCCAAACGGAGCAGCGTCGGCCCGGACGGTGCCGAGCGGAACCGAGCGGGGCGAGTCGGTCCGAGCGGGCCGGGCTCAGTCCGCCACGTCGATCTCCTCCTCCGAGAGCTCGGCGGGCGCCGCGGTGCCGGTACCGGCAGCCCCCGGGGGCTCGGGCAGCCCCGCCAGCTGCTGGAGGGCGGCGGGGGGCAGCGCCTGCAGCGAGGCCACGTCCGCCCGCAGCTCCTCCAGGTCCCGCTTGAGCTTGGCGCGCCGGTTCTGGAACCAGGTGATGACCTGGGCGGCGGAGAGCGCCAGCCGCGCCGCCAGCGCGTCCCGGTCCACCGGGGAGAGGTAGCGCTGCCGCCGGAACCGCTGCTCCAGCTCCCGCAGCTGCTGCGCCGTGAACGCCGTCCGGGACTTGCGACGCTTCCTGCAGGGAGGGCGCGGGCCCGGGGCGCCCGGCGGGGACGGACCTGCGGGGACAGTGGGGTCAGGGCATCGGCACCGGGCACGGGGAACGGCCCCGCAACCCGCGCCGGCACCGGGGAATAGCCCCGGGGCGCCCGCCGGGAAGTGCCTGCGGGGACAGCGGGGTCGGGGCACCGGCCCCGGGACCCGCACCGGGCACGGGAAACGGCCCCGAGGCGCCCGGTGGGGAAGGACGTATGAGGACGGGGTGCCGGGGCCCGGGACCCGCACCGGCACCGCCGAGCCGAGCACGGCGGGGCCCGACCTGCGGGGACGGCGGCGTCAGGGCAAAGGCAGCGGGACCTGCACCGAGCAGCGGATAATGGCACGGGCGCCTGCACCGGGTCCGCCCCGAGCGCTGCGGGTCCCGACCTCTGGGCACAGCAGTGTCAGGGCAGCGGCACCGGTCACGGCACCCGCGCCGAGCCGCGACCGGCACGGCGGGCGGGCCCCGGCTCCGCCGACTCCCGGTCGAACGGAGACGAACCGGCTCGCGTCGAGCCGGAAGCAGAAGAGCCGTGCCGTGCCGTGCCGTGCCGTGCCGTACGGAGCCGAGCCCAACAGAGCCGAGCAAACCAAACCGCGCCCGGTGCCGGGAGTCGCGGTTCCACAGCGGCCCCGGCCGCGTCGAAGTCGCCGCCGCTGCGCCCGTGGCTGAGACCCCCGTGTCCTGCCTGCGGCTGGTCCGGGAGCAGAGTAGGGAGATGGGAGCGGAGCGAGGAGCCGGGAGAGGAGCCGGGAGCCCCCGGCGGAAACCGAGATCCTCCTCTCCACGATTCCAGGAGACCTGAGGCCGTGCTGCTCCCTGCATCCGATCCCGTCGCCGCTCTCGGCTCCGGTGCGGCCGCTGCTGCCGGTATCGATGTAGAGAACCCCCGGTGAGACGCGGATCGCGGCCCCGGCTACGGCTCAACGCCGCCAGCGGGGTCCCGGTGGCGGCCCGGGTCCCTCTCCTGCTCCCGCTCTCGGTCCCGTTCCATCCTTCCTCCTCTGCCGGCGGCGCCGACCCGCCTCTCGGTAACGCGGCTCCCGGGATCACCGTGCGTCCCCCGGTAACGGCGGTGACCTCCGCGGCCGCCCACAGCGGGAGCTCCGCTCCTCGGGACCCCCGAGCGTTCGGCTCCAGAGCCCCGGGCCGTCTCGGCCGAGTCCCGCTTGAGTTGGGACCGTTCCTGGTTCGTCCCGGTAACGGGCTTTACCGCGGTCACGAAACCTCCATCGCTCCCGTCCGTCAGTCCGGTAACAGGACTTCCCCTCCGCTCTCGGAGTCCCGATCGACACCGTTTCTGTCCGTCCGTCCCTCCAACGGGGATTTACCCCCGCTCCAGGAGCCCTGATCACTCCCGTGTCCGTCCATCCTTCGTCGCTGCGAAGAGGGATTTTCGTTCATCACGGAAGCCCCGGGCGGTTCCGGCCGTGTCCGTGGGTCCGTCCCGGTAACGAGGTTTTACCTGAGTTACGGGCACCTCTCTCTGTCCGCCGGTCCCGGCTCGTTCCGCCGTTACCCGCTGCCAGTTTGCGATCGGGTTTTGTTAATTCCGAGATTCCCTCTCTGCCGTGTCCGTCTGTCCGGCCGGTACCAGGGCTTCACTCCCGCTCTGGGAGGCCCGATCGCACCCGAGTCTGTCCGTCAGTCCAGTAGGCAACGGGGTTTTTTCGTTCTTTTTTTTTCCATTCCCGTGTCTGTCCGTCTGCCCGGCCGGTAACGGGGATCGCTCCTGTTTCGGTCCATCTGTTCGCCCGTTAACGGGATTTTTTCGTTGTTTTTTTTTTCGATTCCGGCCGTGTCCGTCTGTCAGTCAGGTAACGGGCATTTTTACCTTAATTCCTGGAGCCCCGATCGACCACATTTCTGTCCGTCTGTCCGTCCCGGCAACGGGGATTTTTTTTCGCCCCCTTTTATATCAGCCTGTCTGCCCCGTAACGGGATTCTTTCGTTCATTTATTTCGTTCCCGGCCGTGGCCGTCCATCGGATAACGGGGGTTTTACGTTAATTCCGGGCGCCTCGAGCCGTCTCCGTTCTGTCCATCTCTCCACACGGTAATGGGTTGGTTTATTCGTTAATCACGGACCCCACTCTGTCTGTCCGCCCTGTACGACGGTTCGTTAATTACTGGAGCGACGCTCCGTAATTAGGGAATTTCTTTCCTTTATCTACCGGAGCCCAGCTCTGCCCGCGTCCGTCTGTCTGACCGGTAACGGGGGTTCGGTTACTCACGGGAGCGCTGCTCGGTCGATCCGTGTCCGTCTGTCCGAAGGATCTTTCGTTACCGGCGGGAGCCGCGTTGTGCCCACTCCTGTCCGTTAATCACCGGAGCGCTGCTCTGCCGTGACTGTCCGTCTGTCCGTCCCGGTAGCGGTTTTTTTCCTGTTAATTACTGAGACCCTCTCTATCCGTTTCGGTAAGGGTTTTTTTATTTTTCCGGTATTTACTGGAGCCCCTCTCGTTCTCCCCGAGTCGGTCTGTCCGTCCCGGTAACGGTTCTATTCATTCCGGGCGGCGCCGCGCTCTGCCTGTCCGTGTGTCTGTCCGTGTGAGGGATTTTCCGTTAATCCCGGAGCCCCGATCGGTCCGTCCGTGATTGTCCCGGTAAGAGCTCGGTTTTTCCTGTCGGTCCCAGAGTCCCGATCGGTCTGCCCGTGCCCGTCTGTCCATCCCAGTAGCGGTTTTTGTTCGTTCCCGGTGGCGCCGTGCTCTGTCTGTCGGTGTCCGTCCGTCCGCCCGCCCACCCGGTGAGGCCGAGCCCGGCAGCGGTGGAGCCGGTTCGTCCCTATCCATACCCGGCGGTCGGACCCCGCCGGTACCGGGCCGCTGCGGGAGGCCGAAACCCGGCCAGAGCCGCCGTCCCCGCCGGGGCTCGGGGCCCGTTACCGGGTTTCCGCCGCGTCCTGGCCCGATCCGCCGCTCGGCCCCCGCGCTCGGTCACGGTCACGGTCACGGCCCGGCGCGGCTCATCCACCGCCCGGTCCCGTGGCTACCGGTAAAGCTGCCGGCGCCGTCCCGGCCGGTGCTCCCGGAGCTCCGGTGCCTCGGTGCCGGAGGCGGCTCACCGGGGCCGGGGCTCGCTCTGGCTCCCGGTGTCCGGTCTCGGGGCTCTTCCCTCCCTCCAGGCAGAGGCTGCCGCGTGTCCCCGCCGCGCCAGGCGAGCACCGGCGGCTTCCCGGGGCCTCCCTGCTGCGCTCGCCCCTCGGGGACACGGAGGAAACTTCCCGGGACCGGGGACGAGGGGCATCCCCGGCCTCGCCACGGCCTCCCCCGCCGCCCGCCGGCCCCGCCACCTGCCCTCTGCCCGCTGCCCAGTTCCCGGCGCCCGCCCCGGTCCCGGCGGAGCCCCCCCGCCCTGGTAGCCTCCCGGTCCCGGTACCTCCGGCTGCTTGCAGCATTCCCAGCTCCAGCCCCTGGAAGGTTTTACTGGCGAGTTCCTCCAGCGCCCAGAGCGGCGAGGCCGGGGCGCAGCCGCCGCCGCGGGGCCCCGCCGGGGCGGGGGGGGCGGCGGGACCGGTCCCAGTCCCGGGGGGGCTCCCGCCGCGGGGGCGTCCCAGGATGTCCTCGATGCCGAAAGGGGTCAGCGGTTTGGTGGTGTTGGCGGGGGGCGGGAGCCGGTCCAGGGGGCTTCGCCGATGGCCGCCGACCGCGGCGGGCAGAGGGGGGGAACCGGCCGCCTCCCCCGCCGAGGTCATGCCGGACCGGGACCCGCGCCGGGACGGGGACCCGCCGCCCCCCCCCCCCCCCCCCCCCCCCCCCCCCCCCCCCCC